AAAAAATCGGTTCTGTACTGGCTACAAATACTAAAGAGGAAGTTAGCCGGTGAAAATTAGAAACATAGACCTTACAATTTATCTGAAAAAGAAAAGTGAACTTGAAAACGAGTCTGGCGAATGGTTTTCTCTCATGCAAAGTTTAGAGCATTTTTAATTCTGACTACGTTAATACGTCATGGAATGTTATCGTTACATTATATTTTTAGACTGTAAACTACATGTATACTTATTTTGAAAATGTGATAAACAGAATATTTTGTTCTCATATTTTCTATGACTTAATTCATTGAAGTCATTGGTTGAATAAAGTAGTAATATTTTATGAAACGTGTTCAATAAATCAGAACCCACAGCGATCTTGAGGAAAAAAACCCGGACACTTAAAAGACTGTTGTTAACTTAATTCTGACACTAAGCTTCATTTTAACAAAATGTTAGGTTTTTATATACATGCAAAATAAAATCACGTCCCTTGTTGTCGCAATATAAAGCCCAAGAAAATAAGTAATCAGAGAATGAGCATCTGAATAGACATTTCTATCGTTGTCCATTTATCTGTCGTCACATTAAGTAAACCCCAGAAAAAAGGAGCCCCTCTACGGGCATGCTCTGGAGTGGGGATATCTAAACACGCACTGTGCATGTATACGATTTAACTCTGACAGAAAGGTCCCCAAACTATAATACACTTATAAATTGGTGTTCCTCAGTATGATAATATAACACAGTGACATTTTAAACTGAGATTGTTCTTCATATTTTATTCAATAATAAAGTATGTTTTGTTAATCTTCACGAGTATCTCTTTTATTTGTTTGTTGTTGAACCTGGAACTAAGGTCTTTTTACGTAGAATAGTCTACCAATGAAATTTTCAATGGAAGGTAAATAGTTCTAAGCAGAACGCCAGCATCTTTTTGTATTATTTCAAATACCAAAATAAACACGTTTCTTTAATGTCAAGTAAGACATATGTGATATAATTTTGCCAGTAAAACATTAAAAGTAAAATTCAGTCGTAAAATTACCGAGAACGGCCATATTTTATTCACGGCTTCTGCACCTTATACTCCGACGCCGCTGCGATGTACCCACCACTTCTGCGAAAGAGTATGGCAAGTGTGTTTAACTTATTGTACTTATTATATTTAACTTTTCCGATCATTGAAGATCGTTCAGCACGACATTATTGCTGTGTTTGTGGTATTTTTTAGTTTTTACTTTTTCAGCATATTTTTTTACTTGGGTGGTTCCAATGTGCACTAAACGAGAAAACAATGTGCGGAAGGTCTGAGGTTATGAAGCCTGCATATCACAGATAAGACGTCAAAACCATACGCCGATTTTAATGGAATGGCACTAACATGTCACATTGAAGGTTCCATGATACTCACCGTATGAACACATCTGCTGATGTATCTAAATTAAAAATACACCATTTTTATGTTTAAATGTTAAATTCTGCTAAAGCCGGTGCTAGGGGGCGTGGACGGTGGTTTGCACTTGACAGTACCGTCTATGAACAGGCTCAATCAAACCGAGCCTTCAACATTTTCAATTTTGCCTTGTTAGGTAGGGATTCTTATTTGCTCTATTTTAGTAACACAAGTAATGTCATAGAGGAAAGTAGCAAAGCCTCAATACAAGGTTCATTTTCTCTTTCTAAATGAACGTGTATCTTATGACAATACTTATCATGCAAACATTTATACTAGTCACCTTTAACTATGTAATTAATCCTTTCTCCAGCATGTAAATATCACACCATTCTTTTCCGTTGTAAAATTACATGTATGAAATCCACGATTTTCACGTGCATGGACCCACCAAACTCTCCCTACCAAAAGAAACTAAATAATCTTTGTAAAGGTCACTCAGTTGATCCTAATAGTTTATAATAAAAATATATATTTGCGCAAAGAACTCGTTGATAGTAAAATACAATTGATTATACCCTTATTGTTTATGTGTAACGAACTATTTCAAATTATTTTGCAAATGATAAGCGTACCATGCTTCATAAGGATTTACACACTTATTGACTAATAAAAATACGCTTAAACGTGCCGTGATTAAGCACAAAACACACTGGCAGAAACAAAAGTTATCATAAGAACTCCAGGACATATTTTGAGTTATCGCAAGAACTCCGTAACATTTGAAAAGTCGGGTATAAATTTATTAGCCCGGGCTTTATGTTTGCATCTCTCCATAATTATTAGGTAATTAAGTATAGCAACGAAGAAGATCACAAATGAAAAGGTCAATATGTACGAATTAGCAAGTAATTTGGTAATTTTTCTCAAAAACTACCAGATTTTTTTTAAAAGGCGACAAAATATGGACTTAACGATTTTTTCTGAAACAAAATACAATATGTAGGGCAAGCTTAATTATCAAAGTTTCATTTAGCTCCTCAAACTCCCCATTTAAAGTTAAAAATAACCATTTTTTACGCGAGTTCTCCAAGTATATACAAAAAGTTTTCCACAGAAATCCGTAACGTTTTCCAGGAACTCCGTGACAGTTATCATAAGAACTCCAAACAAGTTATCATAAGAACTCCATCTTTCGTGTAACACTTCCTCCCCCGTGATTACAGAAGATCATTGGTTTTATCAAGAGATCAGGAGCCGCTTTTGCCTGACTCTGACTTCTTCCACCAATAAAGCTTAAAATCTGTAAATGTAAAAGTAGGTCCAAAAAGTAGGGCAAGATGGTCTTAAGACAGATGGACACAAGCCTGGATAACTTAAAATCCGTCTTAGCACAGCTACAGTCGCACTTGCGTCGCTCATTTGAGAAATATATGAATTGCTCAATTTAATATTTTGAACCTCGGAGACGTGCCAATAATAAGCAATGGTTATGTTCAGACCTATACAGCTCATTTTTGCCAATAGAATAAATTGAAAAGTAAGTTTGTGTATGTCATTATTATTTTTTTTTAACTTTGGCAAATAAACTAATAAATATTTGCTATTACTGTTTAGATCCATCTTCCAAATCGCTTTCTGTCCAGAAAGATTTACAAGACCAATATCATATTAAAAACACAGCGACATCAAAGCCTGTACCTCATTCACGAGTGTCATTTCTCTGAAGTGTTGGCAGTTAAATAAAAGTCCCACTTGTTATTTCTCATATTTTATTGATATTTTTTTCTTTAAATAACCACGTTCTTCGTTTCAAGTAAAATTGACACAGCATCTTCCCAGCATTACCAGTGTAAGACCTCAGTTCATTTCTGTGTATAATTTCAGGCTGTACAAATCAACACTAAGGAAACAAAAACACTGTCAGGGGCAAATGGTTCACTCTTCAAAAAATCCTTTACCATTTTTTTTTCTATTTAATATCTGTTCACAAGCTACTCCATCTCAGCTTGCTATAAATTGAATCCTGGGAAGTAATGATGACTGTAATCCTAGATGAATCTTAATACTTTTATTATAGGAATAACTAGGGTCTTTCTTCCAAGCTTTGATACAAATTTGATGTGACTGACAAACATACCCAGTTCTCTTACCAGCTATCTTAAGAGATTACAAAACACTCTAATATAGTGTTGTTTTCTAAAGTTCTTAACATTATAAAAATAGGGAAAAACACCCAAATGTAGACTAAAAAATCATTTTTAATCACAAGAGAAATGTTTCACAATAATAAGCAATTAAGCACAGAATAAAGGGGTAAAAATTGTATCTATCACAGCTAAGAGTATTATTAACATGGAAGTAATACTAATAAAAGATAAAATATTTTAGAATTTCAAAACTAGCAACTTTTTTTTATCAGGAACCTTGATAAAAGGTGTGGTTAATTATCTTTCCATCCTTCCCAATTATACATGTATGATTGTCTGTAAGTTCTGGATTTAATCCTGTTTGATTTCATCAACAGATTTCCTAACATTGAGAAGCATAAAGCCTACTCGTGGCCTGTGAATATTTTTGCGCCATTTCTTAAACTCTAAATAAAGATAAAATATAAAATTAAAATATTACCTAATTTTTCCTTTTCAAACTCAAGCAAATATTTTCTTATACATGCTAATTTAAACCCTTTAAATTTTTTAAAAAATTTCCATATTAAAATATGGTAAATAATTTTTGTTCCCCGGGGTTTTTAAATTGGGGAAACCCCTTTTTTCCCCAAAAATATGTTTTCCCCAAAAGAAAACGTTTTAAAAGATTTTAAAGGGGAAAGCAAAAGCATTTTAGTCATCAAAAGAAATGGTTCATATGACAAAATTTTTAAATTTTCAAAAAATGTCCCAAAAATTTAAAAATCATTTCCCGGTGGTTTAAATCTTTAAGTTTATTTGACACACAGCCCCATCTGGAATTTAATTTTCCTGTAAATTACAAAACTTTTAACCTTACTTTTCAATCCAAACTAAACTTTAACCCTTTTTTACAAATTTTAAACATATTTAAAATGGAAAATAAATCAAATTTTAATCCAGTTCCTCAGTATATATTTTAAAAGAAAATGAAGATTTTCACCCCTTTTTTGGTATTTTAAAAACCATTTTTTGCATAAATGGTTACCTTTTTTTGTCCAAATTTTTATTTTTTTTTGCAAAAATTTAAATTTTCACTTTTTTTTTGTTTTCAAAAAGTCAAAAAATGGTATTTAATTTCGTGATATTCCACCTTCCACCTAAAGGAGTATCAAACAATATGAACAAGAATTTCAGTTTTGAATCTGGATAATTCACATTAACATTTGAGGAACAATTGACTAATAATAACATCTACAGATACACAAGATGTAATCAGCTGTCAACAACTGAAAAACCTTGATTTTTAGAAATTTTATGCATAGTATAAAACCATTTCATTATTTCAGAAACTTAATTTTATGCATAGTATAAAACCATTTCATTATTTCAGAAACTTAATTTTATGCATAGTATAAAACCATTTCATTATTTCAGAAACTTAATTTTATGCATAGTATAAAACCATTTCATTATTTCAGAAACTTAATTTTATGCATAGTATAAAACCATTTCATTATTTCAGAAACTTAATTTTATGCATAGTATAAAACCATTTCATTATTTCAGAAACTTAAATAATTTAAGGACCAACCAAGGAAAGTTGTAGCAGATTTAAGATTTCTATTCTTATAAAATGATTTGTCTAATACTAGCAACTTATACATTTAAAATTGTTGTCAATGATTTTCTAAATTATCAACAATTAAGTCTTATAGTCCATGTGTATCCATCCACTAAGAACAGGTCATTCAGCATCTTTCTGTAAATAGAAAATACAATTCTAAGTTATTTACCATTTAACTGTACAATACAAGAACATATTGAACAAGTAACACAGGGTTTGAACAAGTACATAGGGTTCAAAAGCAATCCCAACCGAAGTTTCCACATAAGTTTTACTTTATACACATGTACTAAGTTTGATTACTAACTCTAGTAACTATACGGAAATCATGAAGTGGACTGACTAACAACCGCCCGACAAGCTCACTTGTTGTTATAAAGGTTCTTGACAGGTTATATGACCTTATAAATACTGCTGTTTGCAATAAACCCTTACTTGGCAGCTTGGTTATATATGCAAACAACCTTTTATGTAGGGCCATAAAACTTGTAAAAAAATCTCACTATAAACTAAAAGTATAAATTTTATGGTTGTTTGCAGTATTATCTAGACAAATAATCTTGGCCATATGATATTAAGACTGGCTCATATAACCTGTCAAAAATCTTTATAATTAATAAGATATTTACCTTTTTTAATAGAACGGGTTCAGGTACATCTAGTAGATTACAAATACGATTTCTTAATGGTTTGATTTTTTCTACTTCATCATCCCTACAATAATAAACTGGTAATGTCAAAACAGTTATAACAATCAAATGATTTATATTGATGTAGTTTTAATCAAATGAACCATAATGATGTAATTTTAATCAAACAAAGCATAATAATGTCATTTTAATGGTACTACATTGTATTACAAAGGTCAATTCAGAAAATACTTTCTATAGAACAGTTTCCTTCACAGGCCTTCTTGACAATATGATAAATCTGCAGAAATTATTAAGATAAAAAGTTTTAATTCTTTTTACATACATGTATATAAAAATGATTTTCTAGCTTTTTCATACATTGTGTATATATTTTCTTTCAATTTCAAACTTTGATTTTTTATATGTCTATGTCATAATGTGGATTATTTACTTCATTTATAAGAAATGTAAATTTTTTTGTTTGTTTATAGAACTTTATAATACATTTCAAGTCAATCAATCCCTTGCTTTAGTCTAACCAGTTTTCTGCTATGTGATATGATGTAATGAAATTATATTATAAAAACAGAACTAGATTTAACTACATACCAGATGGTTTCACTAAGAATTGTCATGATTTCATCTAGATTTTCAATTGGTGCAATATCATCATAAGTGACAAGAACTTCATAAAATTTGTTTGCAGTTGTTTTACGAATCTGAAAAGATTTTTTTTAGAAATATCAAAATACAGTAAAAAAGACCTGATCCCAATTTTTTGTATGAAAATTGGGATAAAGAAGCCCCAAACTTTGCTTGCATGTTTTTTGTACAAAATTTTTTGCGGTTAGCTTTTGAAAATTTTATATCAAAAAAGAAACCTTTTTATCAAAAAAGATTTTAAAAAGGAAACAAAAAAGTAAAAAAAAACAAATTTTTTTGCAAAAAAATTTTTTTTTAAAATTTTTAGGTTTTGTTAAACAATTTTATACATGTACATGCAACATTTCTACTGCCTTCCGTTCTTTTTTACCTTTTAATTTGTGTAATGAATTTGCCAATACATTGACTTTGGAAAAGTCTTCTTGAAATTTAAGGTATTTCAATATCAAAACACAAGCTATTGTTAGTACAGGGCCTGGTCAGACTGCACATCAAGCTATCCTACCTCTAAACTGGTGGCAAGGATATCACTTTATGCAAGCATGGTAAGGACTATAGAACCTAGTATGCTCATAAAGGGAATATTTCTTTATTGTCTCTCAAGTTGACTGTACAGGATGAATATATATATATATAATTTTAAGCAAAGCAACAAATAAAATACAATTCATCAGAATAGCACACATATTTTGTACGTTATAATACCTTCTGTAAGATCTAAATGATTTACTAGTTCAGATTTTAAATCTGAATTAAACCAAGGGCATTATTATACACAAAATAAGCACACTCAAGTCATATTTGTGACATAAAGAGTGAAGCAAAACCAGGTGAAAAAGGTATTTTACTTACTCTAGGGAACCTGTGACAAAGGAAAATACATAGAGAAGTGAGGCTTTTCTTCCTAACCTCACCCGGAAATTGTAGCAAACCACAGTATCTGAAATGTATGAAGAATAAATTGCATGTTAAACAAAAGATTTAAATAAAAACCTTTAAATTACAGAGGATTTGCATCAAAACAGTTGAGGTCATAAAGGGAATTTCCATGTTTAGTTAGTCTATATGTATTTGTATTTATTAGCAGTGAATTTAAATATGTAACTAAATGATATCCTGAGGAAAAGTAGCTAGGTTTTGTTTATTCAGGTTGTGCAGGTAGCTTATATAAAAAACTATTAGGATACACGGCACATAACGGTTTTATTATACTTAAACAGGTAATATTAGAAATGAGTCCATATGCCATTGATGTCCCAACATTCTCGTGTTTTGTCAGTCTACAGACTGACAGAGTGACAGCCTGACAGAGGGACAAAGGCAAATCTTTATCCCCCTCACGAAGTAGGGGCATAACAGTATTTTCATAGCATAAAATAAAACTTACACATCAGCACTTGCGAGCAGTTTCTGGGGTTCACCACATTTCAGGATTTCTGTCTTCACCAACTGATATACTTCTAGTGGAAATGAATGGCTGCAAATGTCCCAATAAATATTGATAAAAATGTATATTTAAAAGTATCAAAATTTTCTACTATGAATTTCCCAATAATTGATCTAATAATTTTACTTGATATATCTATTGAGACACAGAGACTTTTAACGTTTAGATTTTTTTGGGTTTTACATCACACCGACATAGTATAGGTCATATGGCCACATTCCAGCTTTACTGGTTAAGGAACACCTCTGGTGTCCTTTCATGCATTACTTCAGACACGAACGGGCACATGAGTAGAACCACCAACATTCCATAAGCAAGCTTGATAGCTTCCTCAAATAAAAGAAACCAAAGCCCCTGTCAGGATTTGAATCCACAGCGTTGAGGGGCAAATGGTTTTAAGTCAACAACCTTAACCACTGGACCACATATGCCCCAGAGAGACACAGAGTCTAGATCTAAATACTTTTTTATAGTAAAGAAACTCAAATTTTTTTTCATAAATTTGATGTGTTTTTATTTAAGGATGATGATATGCACATATATGACTGTAATTATTGTCTAACACATTAACTAACATACCTTTCTTGTTCTATAAAAGGATCAAAACAACCCGTCGACAGCAATTGGTCCAACATCTTCACCATTGGTAGTGAAACCCTTAATGTAAAAACAAGAGGGCCATGATGGCCCTGGATCGCTCACCTGACACAACCGCATCCAAGCAATGTCTTAAACAAGCATCATGACCAAGTTTGATGCGACTGAGTCAAACATGTGACCTCTAGTGTGTTATAAAGATTTTTCCATATTTAGGCAATGTGACCTAATTTTTGACTGGACACGACCCATATTCAAACTTGACCTAGAAATCATCAAAACAACCTTCCTGACCAATTTCCAGGAAATTTGGATAAAAACTGCAGCCACTAGAGTGTTAAAAAGATTTTTCTATTTTTAGCTCCCGTGACCTAGTTTTTGACCGGACATGACCAATCTTAGCACTTGACCCTGAAAACATCAAAACAACATTCTTGACAAATTTCCAGAATATTTGAATAAAAACTGCAGCCACTAGAGTGTTAACAAGCTTTTTCTATTTTTAACTTCTGTGACCTAGTTTTTGACCTGAGATGACCATCTTCGAACTTGACCTAGAATCATCAAAACAACTTCCTGACAAATTTCCAGAATATTTGAATCAATACTGCAGCCACTAGAGTGTTAACAAGCTTTTTCTATGTTTAGCTCCTGTGACCTAGTTTTTGACCGGAGGTAACCCATCTTTGAACTTGACCTAGACATCATCAAAACAACCTTCCTGACAAATTTCAAGAATATTTGGATGAAAACTGCAGCCCCTAATGTGTTAACAAGCTATTTCTATTTTTAGCTCCTGTGACCTAGTTTTGGACCGGTGATAACCCATCTTCGAACTTGACCTGAAAATCATCAAAACAACCTTCCTGACAAATTTCCAAAATATTTGGATGAAAACTGCAGCCACTAGAGTGTTAACAAGCTTTTTCTATTTTTAGCACCTGTGACCTAGTTTTTGACCGGACATGACCCATCTTCCAACTTGACCTAGATATCATCAAAACAACCTTCCTGACAAATTTCTAGATTATTTGGATGAAAACTGCAGCCACTAGCGTGTTAACAAGCTTTTTCTATTTTTAGCTCCTGTGACCTAGTTTTTGACCGGAGATGACCCATCTTCGAACTTGACCTAGATATTATCAAAGCAACCTTCCTGACAAATTTCAAGAATATTTGGATGAAAACTGCAGCCACTAGAGTGTTAACAAGCTTTTTCTATTTTTAGCTCCTGTGACCTAGTTTTTGACCAGACATGATCCGTCTTCGAACTTGACCTAGATATCATCTAAACAACCTTTCTGACAAATTTCCAGAATATTTGGATGAAAACTGCAGCCTATAGAGTGTTAACAAGCTTTTTCTATTTTAAGCTCCTGTGACCTAGTTTTTGACCGGAGATGACCCATCTTTGAACTTGACCTAGAAACCATTAAAACAACTTTCCTGACAAATTTCCAGAATATGTGGATGAAAACTGCGGCCACTAGAGTGTTAACAAGCTTTTTCTATTTTTAGCTCCTGTGACCTAGTTTTTGACCGGAGATGACCCATCTTCGAACTTAACCTAGATATCATCAAAGCAACCTTCCTGACCAATTTCCAAAATATTTGGATGAAAACTGCAGCCACTAGAGTGTTAACAAGCTTTTTTCTATTTTTAGCTCCTGTGACCTAGTTTTGGACCGGAGATAACCCATCTTCGAACTTGACCTAGATATCATTAAAACAACCTTCCTAACAAATTTCCAGAATATTTGGATGAAAACTGCAGCCTCTAGAGTGTTAACAAGCTTTTTTCTATTTTCAGCTCCTGTGACCTAGTTTTTGACCAGAGATAACCCATCTTCGAACTCGATCTGTATTTCATTGAGACAAACATACTGACAAAGTTTGATGATGATCCAATCAAAACTGTGACTGCTAGACTGTTAACAACCCAATTATTAGAGTGTTAACAAGCTTTTTTCTATTTTTAGCTCATGACCTAGTTTTTGACCAGAGATGACCCATCTTCGAACTTGACCTAGATATCATCAAAACAACCTTCCTAACAAATTTCCAGAATATTTGGATGAAAACTGCAGCCTCTAGAGTGTTAACAAGCTTTTTCTATTTTTAGCTCCTGTGACCTAGTTTTTGACCCTAGATAACCCATCTTCGAACTCGATCTGTATTTCATCCAGACAAACATTCTGACAAAGTTTGATGATGATCCAATCAAAACTGTGACTGCTAGACTGTTAACAACCCAATTATTAGAGTGTTAACAAGCTTTTTCTATTTTTAGCTCCTGTGACCTAGTTTTTGACCGGAGATGACCCATCTTCGAACTTGACCTAGATATCATCCAAACAACCATCCTGACAAATTTCCAGAATATTTGGATGAAAACTGCAGCCTCTAGACTGTTAACAAGCTTTTTCTATTTTTAGCTCCTGTGACCTAGTTTTTGACCCGAGATAACCCATCTTCGAACTCGATCTGTATTTCATTGAGTCAAACATTCTGACAAAGTTTGATGATGATCCAATCAAAACTGTGACTGCTAGACTGTTAACAACCCAATTGTTGACGACGAACGACGCACGACGACGGACGCCGGACATAGCCCCATCACTATACCTCACCATGACCACTTCGTGGTCAGGTGAGCTAAAAATATATCATAAAACCTTTAATGTAAAAAAATATATCATAAAACCTTTAATGTAAAAAAATATATCATAAAACCTTTAATGTAAAAAAATATATCATAAAACCTTTAATGTAAAAAAATATATCATAAAACCTTTAATGTAAAAAAATATATCATGTTTTAAACAACTGGAAGTTAGGTAGGTATTTATTTTATTTTACACTAATAAATGACAAAACACATTTTTCATTTTCAAAATCATATTGGGTAGGAGTTGTGCTGTTTGTAAAGTATTTGGGTAAGACCTTTGCACGTGGGTAGAACCTAAATTTTGTTTGACTCTTAAGAGTGCTAGAGACTTAATAGTTTAGTTTTGCCACCAGTGTAGTCAAGCCAGTATGTATATAGTCTAGTCAGAATATGTATAAATTATTGTAGTAAGCTGATCCAAACACTAAATACAACTTGGAAAAGGTTTCATATTCAATTACCTTAACAACAAGAGCTGTCGGAAGGACAGCACGCTCGACTATTCTAAGTGCTTGATAGTAAAAGAGCCTCGATAATGTTAAATTTTTTAAATTCACAAAAGGGCTAATTTTTTTTTATAAATTCATGTTATAGGCCTTAGAGAGAGTCTAATTATACAGTATCGGCTTGACTATTTGGAAGGTAATGTCACAAGGGTGTTTTATTGAGTATAATGATACTAATTACCTATGAATACATAAATTTGACAGAAAAGGTACAAAGGTTTGTTATTAAGATGTTTTATCAAGTAAATCACCGCTTTATTATTATGAATGCATAAAATTGTCCCAAAAAAGGCACAAATTCTTCAGTAGTTTTGGAGATAACAGCTTACAAGCAAAACTTTACCATGAATTTCTAAGTTGAAAAAGGGGAGAAAAATCAGCCTAAATGCAAGATAGAATTATGGATCTTTGTCAGTGACCTACAATTATAACCCTAAATGCATATGTGAAGTTTTAAATAAATATCTTTAATAGTTATTGAGATATGTAAAACTTGCATGTAAACATTAACCAAGAGATTAAGTAGAAAAGTGGATATGAATCAGCCTTAATGCAAGATAGAGTTATGGAACTTGGTCAGTGACATACAATTATGACTCTCCAATTATGACCCTAAGTGCATGTGTAAAGTTTCAAGTAAATATCTTTGAAGACCTTTATTCTTTAACCAAAATTTCTAAGTTTCAAAGGGGCAAATAATTCTGCAAATATTGCAGGCAGAGTTATGCAATTTTGCAAACTGATGTACATTGTTACTATAAAAAAGTATTTTAAATTTCAATTGAATATCTCCAGCAATAATTGAGATATTTGACTTTACAAAAAAACTTTAACCAAAATTTCTAAGTTCCAAAGGGGCATAATTCTGTCAATATTGTAGGCAGAGTTATCCAACTTGTCAATCTGATGTACCTTGTTACTATAAATAAGTATTGTAAGTTTCAATTGAATATCTCAAGCAATAATTGAGATATTTGACTTTACAAAAATCTTTAACCAAAATTTCTAAGTTAAAAAGGGGGATAATTCTGTCAATATTGTAGGCAGAGTTATCCAACTTGTCAATCTGATGTACCTTGTTACTATAAATAAGTATTGTAAGTTTCAATTGAATATCTCAAGCAATAATTGAGATATTTGACTTTACAAAAAACTTTAACCAAAATTTCTAAGTTAAAAAGGGGGATAATTCTGTCAATATTGTAGGCAGAGTTATCCAAGTTGTCAATCTGATGTACCTTGTTACTATAAATAAGTATTGTAAGTTTCAATTGAATATCTCAAGTAATAATTGAGATATTTGACTTTACAAAAAACTTTAACCAACGCAGACGCCGACGCGGACGCGGACGCCGACGCGACTACAATAGCTCTCATATTCTTCGAATAGTCGAGCTAAAAATAAGACAAGAGATCTTGAAAGTGAAACTGTAAAGCCATCAATAAATGTTTCACCTCTTCACTCAAAAATAGAAGCTGTGAGCAAAATATGACGATGAAAACATACCTGTCCACTTTTTGGTAGTCCTTAAAAATTTGTGTTAGAGTAGATGTAATCCTTGTTAATTCTTTGATATCTTTACTTAAACTCCTGAGGTAAGATTGTAAAGATGCATTCGAATGTTTAACCTGCAATGACGAAAAACTGATGTTAATAAATTTCAGGTGGGAAGAAAACACAAAATCTAAACTATGCATGTATAAAAATGCTAAAACCTGGATTATAAGAATTATTTCATCTTAGTTTTACACAGTCAAAAAACATTCTATATAGTCTTATAACACAACTAGAAATGTGTCAAAGGACACGGATTCCATTGTTTTCTCAGTTTATGAATAAATGGAAAAGAGCAAATCTATTTGCACCCCTTAAGTAAAAGGGGTATAAAAAGTATAGCACACATAACATTGTCAGCTAAATGTCAATAAACTTTCTTAATTAACCCCCCCCCCCCCCTCTGTGATTGGTTATTTACTTAATTTAAGGCCAAACAAGCATTATACTCACCAGAGACTCTGTCAGTCCTCCCACACTGACAGTAAGGCCAAGCAAAACACTATAGGTGTACGCGTGACACCTTAACAGTTTGGTAAATCTTGGAAATGTGTCGCCTGGGGCAGCCCAGTTTATGCTTGGAATTTCTTCTCTATAATACAAAAAAGTTAAAATTAGCAAACAGTTTAGATTCCATGTCAGACTGTAGAGATTTACTTGGTACATTGGCTAGTAGTAAAGGCAAGTTGTTACTGTAGATAGTATTCAAACAGTCAATTTTCAGTTGAGCGTGTACAACTGGTGACATAGATGGCATTTGATTTCTGATATGTAATATGCTTATATACAAATGAAAAGTATGTACTAATCCAAATAAAAAGCACATTGTTTACACTTTAAAGAAATCATGATAAATAAATGTACATACTTTGGGAAAATATTCTGAAGTTCCTCTCTCTCTGGTATATTTGGTACTGGAGGACTGAAATAATAGGATAAACTTTGTCACTCTAATTAGCTTTGTAAGTCTATGGTCATTATGTCTACAGACATAGGGTTTGTGTGTTGGAGTCCTGAACAAGGCACAAGTTTTTAGTTGTTTTTTTTGTTAAAGTTTTGTTCACTTCAGGATAACTAATGATATTTGTCTTAAAATAGCTGTTTGAATAGCTTTTTGTGGAGAAGTTGGCAGTTTCTTGTAGAGAATCAGTTGGTTCTGGTACATTTGTCACTCTGACATTATAAAGGTCATATTCTAACTTCTCAAATATAAATGATCTCAACATGAAATTGTCACAAACCAGCTTTTTGCCAAAGTAATTAGTTATGAGGAACAAAAACCATCAACATCAAAATGCCAAAAATCACTAGGTAACTTGATGACAATTTTCTGTAAAAGTTTACTTGTGATCCCACCTGAAATGTAGGCCTCATTGTAGAGGTAAGACACTGTCTGCTAACATATTCCAATTAAAAAATCACTATTTTCCCTTACAAAACTAGTTTAAAAAGCATTAAACAAGAAATGTGCCCAATGGACACGGATGCCCCCACATTCCACTGTTTTGTCAGTCTACTGATGTACAGCATGACAGTTTGACAGACAAAGGAAATTCTCCATGACTCCCCCTACCCCAAAATCACATTGTAAGTGGTTAGGGCATAAAAAATGACATCCGAGTGGGGGCACAAAAAATGAAGTATACAGTAAAATGTTACCTATGGTAGAGAAGGGAAGAGAATATGTTGCCGGCATGAGCTCGTGTTCTATCTATCTTCTCACAGGCTTGTTGTACTAGAGATGTCATCATATGTTTACACCTGAAATTATTTATCATACTGTTAGCACAATTACTTACATCGTTAACACATACTAGTATGTTTACATCTTAATAGTGCCTTTCGTTAGAACCAATATTTTCAGTGAAATTTTTTGACAAGTATTACAGAGGTGACATTGTATAAATTCAAATCTAATGACTGAGTGTTTGATTCAACTGTCATTTAGATACCTGAATTCATTTAAATGAGATTTTTAAACAAGTGCTTTAGTAGGTCCTTTCTCTTGTGACTGTTGAAATAATAATGTGCAGTCTTTAGTTTGTTAAGTATATATAATAACCTAATTGTCAAGAATGGAAAACTAATATTACTCAATGCTCCAAAAAATAATCTTAACAAGCAAATTCGTTGAATTTATATCCCCCGCCGAGTACTGGTTATTATTAACACAACAACTGAAGACATAAGGCTATGCAACAGACCGGAACCATTTGATCAACTTTGGCAGGGGACCACCCTAGGATCATTCCTGTAAAGTTTGGTTGCTGTGCAGTCATTTGTTTCTGAGGAGATGTTGTTTAAAGAACGGTGGGGGATCACAATAGCTCACCTAGATGTAAAAACATCTTAATCTCCAGACTTCATTATTCATAATTTAGTGATGTTGATCATTATTCCTGTAAAGATGGTCGATTCTAACTCAAGCACTCAAGGATCAAATAACAACATAATGAAACAGTTTTTACTAAGTCAAGGGAAATAACTCTACAAATACTGGATAAATCCACAAGCGAAACCCCAGGAACAAACTAAATATGCTGAGCAACTTTCCAATAAGGTTAAATGACTCTATGTCAAATCCTTTTTGAGTTACATGCGACACATGTTGAAAATTGCAAACATTTTCTAAGTCAAGGGCAATAACTCTAAAAATACTAAATAAATCCAGACGAAAATACCCAGGTGCACAACTACACATGCTGATCAACATTCCTGTAAAGTATCATGACTTTAGGTCAAATACTTTTTGAGTTACATGTGACACAAGTTGAAAATTGCAAAATTTTACTAAGTCAAGGGCAATAACTCTAAAAAAAGTAAAATTATCCGGACGAAAATACCCAGGTGCACAACTACACATACTGATCAACATTCCTGTAAAGTATCATGACTCTAGGTCAAATACTTTTTGAGTTACATGCGACACAAGTTGAAAATTACAAAATTTTACTAAGTCAAGGGCAATAACTCTAAAAATACTAAAAATATCCAGAAGAAAATACCCAGGTGCACAACTTCACATGCTGATGAACATTCCCATAAAGTTTCGTTGAATTCCAGCCATTAGTTGCAGAGAACTACTCCGGAAACGAAATTCGGACGTTTTACTAAGTCAAGGGCAATAACTCTAAAAATACTAAAAATATCCAGACGAAAATACCCAGGTGCACAACTTCACATGCTGATCAACATTCCCATAAAGTTTTGTTGAATTCCAGCCATTAGTTGCAGAGAACTACTCCGGAAACGAAATTCGGACGGACGGATGGACGGACGGACGGACGGAAGGACGGACGGACGGAAGGACGGACGGACAACGCCAAAACTATATCCCCCTCCCGATTCCATCGGCGGGGGATAATAATACTAGTGTACTACAGTATATTTTTATTTGCAAAGAGAATTAGAATTGGTAACCTGAAAATTAAGAAGTTGCTCAAATAAGAAAAGCAAAAAAAAAAAAAAATTCATTGCTGACAACAGTGACATTACAAGGACATTACTGACATCAATGGCATTCCAGGGATATTTCTGACAACAATGGCATTCCAAGGATATTTCTGACATCAATGGCATTCCAAGGATATTTCTGACAACAATGGCATTCCAAGGATATTTCTGACATCAATGGCATTCCAAGGATATTTCTGACAACAATGGCATTCCAAGGATATTTCTGACATCAATGGCATTCCAAGGATATTTCTGACAACAATGGCATTCCAAGGATATTTCTGACATCAATGGCATTCCAAGGATATTTCTGACAACAATGGCATTCCAAGGATATTTCTGACATCAATGGCATTCCAAGGATATTTCTGACAACAATGGCATTCCAAGGATATTTCTGACAACAATGGCATTCCAAGGACATAACTGAGAACAATGACATTTCAAGGACATTACTGACAACAATGGAATTCCAAGGACATTATTGGCAACAATTGAGTTCTTTGGACATTACTGACAACAATAGAGTTCCAAGGACATAACTGCAAACAATGACATTTCAAGGACATTACTGACAACAATGGAATTCCAAGGACATTATTGGCAACAATTGAGTTCTAAGGACATTACTGACAACAATAGAGTTCCAAGGACATAACTGCAAACAATGACATTCCAAGGACATTACTGACAACAATGACATTAAAAGGACATTGCAGAAAATGATGAAATATCATTTGGAATTAAAAGGAATACAACTGTTTGACACACAATTCAAGTTTATTCTACATAGTCAGTGAAAAGCTGATAAAAATCTGTGTTATTTTCAAACTTACACAGTAGGTTGTAAAAGGTCAGGTTGACTGCTGACAGTGAGGGCAGTGATCTCCAGCAATCCACTCATACTAGCTTCTCTCACCCTGTAAAAATACACAAAGTACATACATATATATGTATAACATTTATAAAATAATTAAAATGTGGGTCTTGAATTTTATATCACAAATTTTTAAAATCATAAGACTGAGTATAAATCTGTGATTTTAATCACCAGGTGCAACTTTGAATCATACTTTAATGTCCAATCCTTTCCTTCAAAAGCATAAAATGGCATCCATCCATCTAGGAATTTTGTGGCCAAAAAACAAAACAAAACAAGAACTGGTTGAACCAGGTGATGCTACTATAGGTTTTGGACACAGAAAAGAATACCTTTTGTAGTGTCAGAGTTATGTCCTGTACAAAGTTAAAAGTGTAAAAATGACAATAACTCCAAAATTAGGCAAGGCACAGTTATGGTTTCTTTTGCACTGCACATCTACCCAATGAGATCTATCTACCTACAATGTTTCCTGTTGATATCTCTTACAATTTCAGAGATATATCTTGGACAAAGTTCAAAGTGAAAGAATGAACCAAGGCCAATTACTTCAAAATTAGGCAAGGCAGAGTTATGGTTCTTGTGCACTGAACATCTACTCAATGAGATCTATCACCTACAAAGTTTCATGTTGATATCTCTTGTTGTTTCAGAGTTATGTCCCGGATAAGAATAGCGGACAGAAAGACTGACATGCCATTTAAATGGACTAAGGGGCCATTTCTTTTGTTATTTTCTTTCGTTTAATAGAGGGCTGTGGCCCCTTATTCTATTGTTACGGAATGAACTTAATTGTTCTCTTTTGTTCTGATTACAGTAACATGGTTCCCTACTTCTCTTAAATAGCCCAAAGACAGACAGAAGTCCTCAAAGTGGCTACTCTTATTTTTCTCTCTATTATTCTGTTAGCCATGTAAGAGAAAAAGTAGCTACATAAGAGCTTACTGAATGAATAGCATCAAAGGAAATTTACTGTTACCCTGTTCCCATAGCCACCTGAGTATCTATACATTTGTACTGATGGATGGACAAAGCGGCGAGCGACTATATGCTCATCATTCAGGGAGCATAAAAAAAATTTATGCTGAACATTTATCCACATACATCAAACCTCAAGATTTTGTACAATAACAAAAATGTAAGTATAAACTAGTCTTTTTATTTATCTTACAAATCAGTCTCAAGGAACAATGCTATTATCATGAGGATACTATAGTTGACTCTCAGTATTTAAAACTCTTTTAGCTCAAAATTCAGTCAGTCAAAGACAATTTAAAGCTCCTTCTTTATCCATAGATTTTAACTCAGTTTACATCGAATTTGAATAACTGAGACTCAATCAAGTAGAAAATTAATTTTGGTCATGACAATTTAGTTTAAACATATATTTTTTACTTTTAATGAAGAAAACAAAATTATGTAAAATCAAATAGAAGCAAAGAAAACAATATCCCCTTTATAAAAAACAGAATAACTATTATTGTTAGATAATAAGTGTCCCCATAATCACACAATCAACAAAACTGAATTCTATACAAGTTTGCAAAAGATGGTGTATCTCACAAAATCAAATGAGCCGTGTCACGACAAAATCAACATAATGGGTTTGCGACCAGCATGGATCCAGACCGGCCTGCGCATCCGCGCAGTCTGATCAGGATCCATGCTGTTCGCTATCAGTTTCTCTACTTGTTATAGGGTTTGTAAGCGAACAGCATGGATCCTGATCAGACTGCGCAGATGCGCATGCTGGTCTGGATCCATGCTGGTCGCAAACGCACTATGTTGGTTTTGTTGTGACGCGGCACATCTCATTACGTACCATGCACCAACATCACCTCGGCTGTCCAACGTATAATCTTTTAACGCACAAAGGAATGCCTCGTACACTTGACCTATATTGGCTGAACACAAGGTTTTATTCAGATCACCATTTTTGTCCACACCTACTGTATTACAAACACTGAAATAATGTGAAGTTTAACAAATTTATCTTCTTAAACATGGTAATAACTTAAAACTCCAAAGTAAAGAAATTATAGTGAAATAATGCAAAATAATAAAAATTTAATCATTGATTTTGATAAAATTTAGTTGTAAATGTAAAAATTCATAAACTGTACAGTCCCAGAAAAACATGTAAACTAGAAACTGACTTTAATATCAATAATAGATATTTCCAGTTAATAGCAATGAAAAATTTAGTCCCGCCTTTTCTATTCATGGCTTCGTCAACTGCTTTAATGCCCAACCCACCCTGCAAAACAAAGACTTTAAATTTTCATAAAATTAGTAGGTATTATGGAATGTGCTGTTAACTGGAGGTGTGTAGCAATAAAATCAAGATCTGTTGATTCCTTTAGAAATATTTACCATGTAATGGCCTTTAGAGCATCACGCCTTCCCTCCGCCCACTTTTCTTCTTTTTCTGTAATCTGTGTGGCTTGTATAAGTCCACCTAACACTGGCCGTAATTTACCTACCAACATAAACTTTGGAAGAGCACCAAGTGCTAGAGAATGACCTTGCCTGAAATTACAGTTATCAATTGAAAAGAAAAGTAAGAATGAGTAAGAGATAACAAATTTACACCATTTAACACCGGCTAAAATTTTATATTGGTCTCCTCTTATTTTGAAATGTAGGACTATTGGAGGACCTTTATCAACAACAAATTTCAATTAAAAATACTTAGGAAAATGATTGATAACTACATTCACAAAATAAAGTTTAAGGTCGCTGACATTAAATAACATTCCTCTAAAATTGTAGGTTTGAAACTTATAAAGGCTTAAATTTCTTTCATGTGAGGAAATAATATGCAAAGGAGCACCTGAAAGTCATTGAATGACTTGTACAGTGTCAGAGTAACTTAAAACCTTTTAAAAACCATTTGCAATACACAACTCTTGCTACAAACAGCTTTAGTCAAATTACACTTTTGCTGTTATCAACACAATATTATAACCAAAATCAATGTTTTTTCTTTCTAGGCATAAATCTTTAGTTAATCAACAACTTTGCCACAAACATACCTTGATATTTCTAGAGAGGCCCTCAGCTGCCGTAGATATCTTTCTATCACCATTTCTGAAATACAAAGTTAGGTACATACTAAATATTGCAATGTTTAAAGTGATAAACAAGTTCTAATACACCAGACATGTGTGTAATTGTCAAATAAAACAAAGAATTTTGAACTAGTCTTTCAATAAAATAATTCCTACAATTACAAACTATTCAGTTCATGTAAATTATTGAAATAATTCCTACAATTACAAACTATTATGTGAATTATTGAAATAATTCCTACAATTACAAACTATTCAGTTCATGTGAATGTATCACTCTGTATACCTATATCAAATGAGTATATTTCTTGTTGTTGGTATTTTTTTATATCTTAGAAGAATGAAAAGGAAACTGGGAAAACAAAATATTTAAGACTTAATAAATACTCTGAAAATCCTACTTTAGATCTAAATATGTAGAGCTGAGGTATTTATTCTTTTCTTGTCTATTTTTTCTTCCTTAACTAAACCGAAACTGGTGAGATATTGTTGTGAAATATTAAAACACACTGTGATTAACCCTTTTATTGTATAAACCTTTGTCCTTGGATTGGGAACAAACAGAGATTGAAAATTCAACTTGTTCGCTCGTAATTATGAGTAGTATTTAATAGTCCTTGATGCAGGACAAGTAGAAAAGATGCTGTCTGCAAATTGGATTAAGAAGCTACTTGTCAAGCGGGACAAGAGACTCTGAAAATATTTTTCGATGCCTGGAACAAGACACTACAACCTTGTGACAACCACTCTCATACAATTACCTTGTCTTTTAGGATCAGCAACACCATTAGAATCTCTATAATATTCCGTGAAGAAGGCAGGTATAGCATTTACAGCAGCCATCTGTATCTCGTGCTCTGTGTGATTCAAACAGTCATCTAGTATGTCCTGCCATATATCTGTATTAGAATGATGACATATATGATTTTATTCCAAAGAAATATGCAGTCAATCTTTAAACAAAATGAGTGGGTGTTTCAACTTTAAATTTCTTTTTATTTCTTTTCTCTGGCCCCATATGGAGTAACGGCAGAGGTGACATGCAAACTAAAGAAAATTAGATGCGAGGATCCAAAATCTGAGGAATAGAAAGATTTTGTTATAACTTTATTATAACTACAAGCTTTACCTATGACTGGATCTGTATGACATGGAAATTTCGACAAGGAAACCCTCTCAATTAGACAACACACGGCTGTTCTCATCAACTCCCCACTCATTCCCCGAAATAACTTCTTATCATGTAACTGTAACAATATAAACAAGAGCTGTAGGTAGGACAGCAACGCTCGACTATTCTTAGTGCTTGATAGTAAAAAAAATGCTTGATAGAGTTACTTCCTCCTGTTTACAGGTTTGGGTCATGATGGTGAACAAGTGTGCAAAGTTTCAAAGCCATATGTCAATGGACTTTGAAAATATTTGAACTATTACAAAAACTTTAACGTAAATTCTAAGTCGAAAAAGGGGCATAATTCTGTCAAAATGCTAGATAGAGTTACCTCCTCCTGTTTACAGGTTGGGGTCATGATGGTGAACAAGTGTGCAAAGTTTCAAAGCCATATGTCAATGGACTTTGAAAATATTTGAACTATTACAAAAACTTTAACGTAAATTCTAAGTCGAAAAAGGGGCATAATTCTGTCAAAATGCTAGATAGAGTTACCTCCTCCTGTTTACAGGTTGGGGTCATGAAGGTGAACAAGTGTGCAAAGTTTCAAAGCCATATGTCAATGGACTTTGAAAATATTTGAACTATTACAAAAACTTTAACGTAAATTCTAAGTCGAAAAAGGGGCATAATTCTGTCAAAATGCTAGATAGAGTTACCTCCTCCTGTTTACAGGTTGGGGTCATGATGGTGAACAAGTGTGCAAAGTTTCAAAACCATATGTCAATGGACTTTGAAAATATTTGAACTATTACAAAAACTTTAACGTAAATTCTATGTCGAAAAAGGGGCATAATTCTGTCAAAATGCTAGATAGAGTTACCTCCTCCTGTTTACAGGTTGGGGTCATGAAGGTGAACAAGTGTGCAAAGTTTCAAAGCCATATGTCAATGGACTTTGAAAATATTTGAACTATTACAAAAACTTTAACGTAAATTCTAAGTCGAAAAAGGGGCATAATTCTGTCAAAATGCTTGATAGAGTTACCTACTCCTGTTTACAGGTTGGGGTCATGATGGTGAACAAGTGTGCAAAGTTTCAAAGCCATATGTCAATGGACTTTGAAAATATTTGAACTATTACAAAAACTTTAACGTAAATTCTAAGTCGAAAAAGGGGCATAATTCTGTCAAAATGCTTGATAGAGTTACCTCCTCCTGTTTACAGGTTGGGGTCATGATGGTGAACAAGTGTGCAAAGTTTCAAAGCCATATGTCAATGGACTTTGAAAATATTTGAACTATTACAAAAACTTTAACGTAAATTCTAAGTCGAAAAAGGGGCATAATTCTGTCAAAATGCTAGATAGAGTTACCTCCTCCTGTTTACAGGTTGGGGTCATGATGGTGAACAAGTGTGCAAAGTTTCAAAGCCATATGTCAATGGACTTTGAAAATATTTGAACTATTACAAAAACTTTAACGTAAATTCTAAGTCGAAAAAGGGGCAGAATTCTGTCAAAATGCTTGATAGAGTTACCTCCTCCTGTCTACAGGTTGGGGTCATGATGGTGAACAAGTGTGCAAAGTTTCAAAGCCATATGTCTATGGACTTTGAAAATATTTGAACTATTACAAAAACTTTAACATAAGTGGTTACGCCGACGCCGACGCTCGGGTGACTGCAATAGCTCTACTTATTCTTATCGAATAGTCGAGCTAAAAATAAAATAGAGCAATGATTACAGAAGCTTTTCCAATCATTCTTACATAGTTATACACTGTTGGCAGCTCAACTTCAACAATAGCAATTTCATATAACACAGCTATACACTGTTGGCAGTTCAACTACAACAATAGCAAATTCATATAACACAGCTATACACTGTTGGCAGTTCAACTACAATAGCAATGTCATATAACACAAATATACACTGCTGGCAGTTCAACTACAACAATAGCAATTTCATATAACACAGCTATACACTGTTGGCAGTTCAACTACAATAGCAATTTCATATAACACAGCTATACACTGTTGGCAGTTCAACTACAATAGCAATTTCATATAACACAGCTATACACTGTTGGCAGTTCAACTACAACAATAGCAATTTCATATAACACAGCTATACACTGTTGGCAGTTCAACTACAACAATAGCAATGTCTTATATATAACACAGCTATACACTGTTGACAGTTCAACTACAAAGCAATTTCATAAAACACAGCTTTACACAGTTTGCAATTCAACTACAACAATAGCAATTTCTTATAACACAGCTACGAGGGTTGTTCAAAATGTAATAGGATTAGGAGTCTTGCATATTGCTATTTCATTTAATGTAGAATATTTTCATATGTACAGCGATCGTAACATGTTTTCTACAATTTAAGTATAAGTTTATTAATTTATTGTGCTAAACGCTTGTTTCATGATATATTGAATAACCATAGTAACACGCACCCGGCGCAGCACATCAAAATAGTTATTAAAGCTAAGTTGTACTTCTAATTTATTCATAAATTATTATCTGTTTGTTCAAATATTCCATCAACCTGTTTAATTATATTTAAGGGACATTATGTTCGAATTTGACGTCAATCGGACGTGGAATGGCTTAATTATAACAAGAGGGCCATGATGGCCCTGAGGTCGCTCACCTGTATATAGGCCCCCCAACCCCCCCCCCAACGTTGCAGGGCCAATTTAACCCAAGGGCTTTTATTTGCACAAACTTGGTAGACACCCATAAGAAGATGTTTCATGCTAAACATCTAAGCTCTAGCTCATTGGGCTTTTTAAAGGAAGATTTTTTTAAAGTTTTTACTATACACATATAGTTAAAAACAATGACACCCCTGGGGCAGGGCCAGTTTTGACCCCAGGGCTTTTATTTAAACAAACTTTGTAGACACTTACTAGAAGATGTTTCATGCTTAATATCTAAACTCTAGCTATTTGGGTTTTTTCAAAGAAGATTTTAAGTTTTTGCTATACACATATAAGGAAAATCAATGACCCCCGGGGCGGTGCCAATTTTGACCCCAGGGCTTTTATTTGAACAAACTTGGTAGACACCAATTAGAACATGTTTCATGCTAAATATCTTAGCCATAGCTCTTTGAGTTCTTTAAAAGAAGATCTTTTAAGTTTTTACTATATGCATATAGGGAAAATCAATGACCCCCCCGGGACGGGGTCAATTTTGACCCCAGGGCTTTTATTTGAACAAACTTGGTAGACACTTATTAGAACATGTTTCATGCTAAATATCTTAGCTCTAACTCTTTTGGTTCTTTAAAAGAAGATTTTTTAAGTTTTTACTAAATGCATATAGGGAAAATCAATGACCCCCTGGGGAGGGGCCAATTTTGACCCCAGGGCTTTTATTTAAACAAACTTGGTAGACACTTATTAGAACATGTTTAATGCTCAATATCTTAGCCATAGCTCTTTGAGTTCTTTAAAAGAGAATTTTTTAAGTTTTTACTATATGCATATAGGGAAAATCAATGACCTCCCGGGAGGGGGCCAATTTTGACCCCAGGGCTTTTATTTGAACAAACTTGGTAGACACTTATTAGAACATGTTTCATGCTAAATATCTTAGCTCTAGCTCTTTGGGTTCTTTAAAAGAAGATTTTTTAAGTTTTTACTATATGCATATAGGGAAAATCAATGACCCCCCGAGGCGGGGCCAATTTTGACCCCAGGGCTTTTATTTGAACAAACTTGGTAGACACTCACTAGAAGATGTTTCATGCCAAATATCTAAGCTCTAGCTCTTATGGTTCTTTAAAAGAAGATATTTAAAGTTTTTTCTTTTGATTGCCATGGCAACCAGAGTTCTGCATGGAATTAAATTCTTTGAACAATTTTTAAAGGTGACCACCAAAGGAACATTCCTGTGAAGTTTGGATGAAATTGGGTTAGTGGTTTATGAGGAGATGTCATTTAAAGTAAAAGTTTACGGACGGACGACGGACGACGGACGGACGGACGGACGACGGACGGACGCCGGACGAAAAGCGATCACAAAAGCTCACCCTGTCACTTTGTGACAGGTGAGCTAAAAATTTGAGCAGCAGCCGTTATAGCGTTAAATATAGAAAGATGGCATTCGTAAACAAACAGAAAATTTGTGCGATTGTTAAATTTTTTGGACAGATTGGCTATACTCCTTCAGATACATACAAAATGATTTAATTAACAAAGGACAATTATCCTGCCATCAGAATACTTGTTTTCAGCTGGCGCAAGCATTTGAAAAACGGCTTATACAAGATTACGAACAGGAAAGGGCGTTGATGAAAGTGGAAAATTGACGGGACGTTATGACGTCAATCGAAAAAGCGGTACGAAATGATCGCCGGTAACGGTTCGCGAACTGTACGGCATTTTTTTATGTCTGCTCCGGGTCAACTTAGTCAGTTATGACAAAAGTATTGAATATGAGACATTTGTTTAAACACTAAATGTGGTATCAATAAACTAATATAATAATTATTAACGGTAATAATTAGAAGTACTTTTTTCCAAATTTGGTTTAAATAAAAGACAGAATGTGCTCAGTAAAAAAGGATACTTTTCAATTGATAAATATTGTTATTTACTGCTCATAATCATATTGTTTAAAAAATAAGATGAGATGTGTAAATTAATAAAATAAATCACTTTTGCATTAACATTATGAGTCCGTGCCTGTCGAGTTTCCAGATTACTCAAAATATACGAGAAAAGCGGAAAATGGCCGGCTATCGGGAATTTATTATTATTATTTTTAAGTGGAATAAGAAGTGATCGCTTTAATTATTTCTCGCATCATCTTCACATCTGAAGCCTGGTCATAATTACATGATTCAGACACCTAGAGCAAGCACTAGGGAAACTTCTGAAAGAAAGAATGACGCTTGTTAGATTTTGTTTTTATTCAACGTCATGAACGTCATTTATTGTTTTATTAGCGTGCGCCGATTTTCATACCCCTTGTCATTAAAAGATTTTCACAGAATTGTTATTTGTAAACATTTTGTATTGATTCTTTCATTGTATATACACAACATGTTCCTATATTTGTCTCGTGTAAAATTGTTTACGTATATTGAAAAATGTGAGCAGTAGAGCTGCAGTCCTATTACTTTTTGAACAACCCTCGTATACACTGTTGACAGTTCAACTACAATAGCAATTTCATATAACACAGATATACACTGTTGACAGTTCAACTACAATAGCAATTTTATATAACACAGGTATACACTGTTGGCAGTTTAACTACAATAGCAATTTCATATAACACAGATATACACTGTTGGCAGTTCAACTTCAGCAATATCAATTTCATATAACACAGCTATACACTGTTGGCAGTTCAACTAATGCAATACCAATTTCATACAGAAACCTTCTAAAGCACCAAGAGAAAAATTCAAAGTATATGAAGGTCAAGTTCACTATTCATATTACACAGACGTTAAGGTCATAAAACAGGCCACAAATTAAATTTTCAAACAAAAAAGCAGGTATGTCTACTCACTATAATGGAAATGTTCTTTATATTCTCTATCACATCTGTTGGCAATATGTCTGTTATACTCCTATAAGACAAATGATATCTTTGAATTATAATTCTGAATAACTGATTCGTACTTAATATTTAAATTTGTATGACAATTTAATTAGAGAAACAAGGGTACTTGTTTTAAAAGGGCCAGGCTAATGATTTGTTTACAGTAAGAGATCTAATATTTCACTTCACATACAGATACAAATGTGTATGAGACAAAGAGAAAGTTCTGAGAAACTGAAAAACAAGAGTTTACAATTGTTATCATCAATTTGAAGTGCATACCAATGTTGACCTGACAGTCAACAAAACTTCCTTTTTCTTTTCTTGAGCTTAGTTTTTTTTCCTTAGTTTGTAATAGTCTGCATTAAGGAAATACCAACTTACTTCCCTTCTTTTACACCAATCTTGCTGAGTGCATACACAATTTCTGCCACAGATAAGATAGTTCCATGTCTTGACTGAAGATCCATACCCGTGGTGTGTGGTAACAATTTTGATAGCACTGAAATAGGAATAATTGTTGCAAATATATGTACATGTTATAACCTTGTACTTATTTTGTTACAAGTATAGGTATTTCTTGTAATTCCAAGTGTTCAAGGCAACTGCAAATCACTCAATCTGTATACTTGTCAACATTTCCACTATTAAGGTCACTTTAATTTCCACATAAATACATCTTTAGGCATAATACTTTAAAGTCAAGAATTGCAACTCTGAAAAACAGGAACATTTGAATGGTTTAATTTGGTAATGGATACTTTTTTCTTACACCTATTATATAGATAAAAAATAACCAGAATTTTCATCATGGAAGTCAGTCACCTCATAGATTAGATAAAAATCACACATTACACTTTGCATTATAATCATCACTTTTAAGAATTGGAATCTTCATAAGAGAAAATAAGTAGGAAGGAATGCTTCTTCAAAGTATAATGTCTATGTTCTTATATAAAAGAACAATACATTTTATAATAATTGGCTTATTTTTACTTTTTGTGTTCCTATGCTGAGTATATGAAATATTATTTTGTATGAAAATCTATAGTATATAAGTGCCATTTCATATCCAATAAATAATCATCTAGAAACAAACCTCAATGTTGGAAAGTCATGTAGATTTTATTGGCAATAGAAAAATCATACAAACCTGATTGTTTCACATGTTGTGGTGATTTCTCGGTCAGGTTATGAAGAGCTTTGGCAGTTAATTCTCTAATTACACTGAAAACAGTTAGGTTATATGTAAGTATTAAAGTGACATTATGTCCATTCAAGGGTGAGTGAACCAGTGAAAGTCAAAATAAGTTTAAATTTTGCCAAATTCCTTTCAATTTTATAGTTTACTTCACATGAATGAGAAATAACTTACATGGTCCAAGGAAGTTTAATTAAATATCAATCGAAATTTACCTGTTCAATCAATAAAAAGAGTGTGGCAGTCTTTTTATATTCTAGGCAAGTTTACATTTTATCATTAACATTTTCCAAAATCTACTCTTGGTCAATCACCATTATTACAGTCAATATTATGTAATATATAGTCAATTTAGCTCAACTTGACATTAAATAAATGAGCATTATATTACTTTAAAAAGTATCATACTAAAATGATGAAAATCTAAGATTTAAAAACATTTTGATTATTTTCATACAGCAATAGCAATTGAAATGATAGATGATCTAAATATGAATAATTATTCTTATGGTAAAAGAATGGCCAAAATTGGAAATCAATCTGGTTAAAGTAGAGCACAAAAATACGATTTTAAATCTATCAATTTCTGAGTATTTTTCTGAATCACTTAAGCACATCTTTCTCTCTTCAGTGGCCCTGCTGTCAGACCTTAGCGTAGTTCCTATAAAATTCATTGAGTTACAATGGTGTGTTTGACGGAAAATGTCAAATATAACAACTTACCTATCCCAATGATGAACTTTAACCTCAGCTAAATGATCTATCAATGCATCAGTGTATTCAGGAAACTGGGCCACATATACGCTAAAAATGTGAAGAGGGAAAAATTTGGGACAATTATCTAAAAAAAAAAAGTGTTTTAAAGGTCTGTGAGAGTATTCAAATCTATGACAATGAATTTATTTCTGAAAAAGAAAGGAGGAGAAACATTAATAAA